AGGGTGCGGGGCCTTTGCCCCGGGGACGACTCGCTTCCCTCGGGAGGAGCTGCCGGCACTTCGCCTGTTCCTTCCTACGCTGAGGGCAGCGGCTGCAGCTGGGTTACGGGCTCATGTTGACAAGGGTGGCAGCATCCAGATAGCAGTGGAACGATCTTCCTGCCCTTCGCTGTTCAGTTGAGGGAGGTGGAGAAATATAAGTTCTACGTGCACTTCTGCTCGGTTCATGGGATGTCACTTCACAGGGGCCTTATTCTTGACTTGGCCTCTAGGAGCTGCCATAATACAGCACTCGGTACAGTCTGTGTTCCTTGGTACGTGAGGCAAAGTTTACCTGTGTTATTAAATTGATTCAAGAATAAAGTAAGCTGATAAAATGTATTGTATCTAGAGGCATCACTTTAAGTGGTCCTGGTTGGTGCCCTGGTACCTGCAAATGCAGAGAAGTGTAGTACATTTTTTATATGAGATCCTGCCTGTATATATACAAGATGTTATATAAACATCTTGTGTTACATAAACATCTTGTGGCAAGATGTCATATAAAGTGATACTTCTAGATGCAATACATTTTACCAGCTAACTGTTCTCTTGAATCAAGAGAGAAATTAAGATGCATACAGCATCAAGATGTCTGTAACATCTAAAATCAAGATGTTTATATAACATCTTGTAACTTCATCTCTTTTGTAATTTTTCTCTCACTCTTTAAAACATCTACATCTCTCAGCCTCTTCTCCAGTCATGTTGCATCTTCTCCTTGATGTGATTATGTTCTGCGAGATAGAATTTTGTCAGCTTCTGCAAATGGAGCTGAGCAAGGCAACATACGTATTTCCACAGGACAATTCCTCAAAGGTGATTAAGTAAGTGGCACCCCTGTGTCCAACTGTCTCCACATTCTGACAGGGTTTTATTTCAGAAAAATCAAATGCCCAATGCTTTTAAACAAATGCATCTGGAATATTGTGTCCAGTTCTGGGCCCCTCAGTTCAAGAGGGACAGGGAACTGCTGGAGAGAGTCCAGCGCAGAGCCACAAAGATGATGAAGGGAATGGAGCATCTCCCTGCTGAGGAAAGGCTGAGGGAGCTGGGTCTCTTTAGCCTGGAAAAGAGGAGACTGAGGGGTGACCTAATCAATGTTTATAAATATGTAAAGGGTGAGTGTCAGGAGGATGGAGCCAGGCTCTTCTCTGTGACATCCAGTGATAGGACAAGGGGCAATGGGTTCAAGCTGGAACATAGGAGGTTCCACTTGAATATGAGAAAAAACTTCTTCACGGTGAGGGTGACAGAGCACTGGAACAGGCTGCCCAGAGAGGGTGTGGAGTCTCCTTCTCTGGAGACATTCAAAGCCCGCCTGGATGCGTTCCTGTGTGATCTGATCTAGGTGTTCCTGCTCCGGCAGGGGGATTGGACTGGATGATCTTTCGAGGTCCCTTCCAATATCTAACATTCTGTGATTCTGTGAAATGCCCAATGCTTTTAACCAACAATGGTGTATCTTCCTCATTTTGACTATTTCTTAGCATTTTTCTAGCAGGTAAGAAAGAGGTTAATGTCAGTGGTATACTTGTGCACGTAGATGTTTAAGAACTCCTAAAGCACAAGTTTTCACGCTCATGTTTAACACTAATCTACAGATATTCTTCAAACAGCAGAATCACGTAATCCTTTGCTCATTCCATCTTTTACATGTAGTTCATCGGTTTTAAGATTAGGAAAGAAGCTTGAGATCCCATCATGGAGGTTTTTGTTTCTTTTTATGTTTCTGAATCCTAATTCAGACAATGCTCAACATCTTGTTCAGTATTTGTGTGGTACTTTGATTATACAAAGCGAAACAAAGCTTTCAATACTAAGCTATATCATCTTTTATATATTTGTGGAGGGGAGAATGATTGTGTACCGGTGACAGCTAGGTTGGGGTTAAGCTCAAGAAGGCAGTTGAAATTTTTAGTATGTTGAGAGTAAAAATACTGGCTGCTGATGCATGATAGTATTTCTAATCTAGCTTGCCCTTATGCTGTCAACAATGGCAGGAAATTTCGTTTAGGATTTTTTGAGTGTGCCAGTAGAATAATAGGTACAGTAGAGTCACTACACACAATTACTTGTTTTTCATCTTGATTTGACAAGGTCTTTCACAAAATGCTGTTATGGGAACTATAAGTCACGGGTGATAGAGGAGGCATTGCTATGGATCAGAAACCTGTTTTCTATCTCAGGTGAAGAAAAGGACAAAAAGTTTGAGTATTCTTAACGATTTAGAAAAAGGGAGGAGGAGGGGAGGGAGGAGACAATGTCTGCAGCCAGCACAAAACTATTTAGGGTTATAAAGAAAATAAATAAGCAGCAAGTAAATAAGCTAGAGCAACTGGCAATGTGGTGAAGATACTAATCAGTGTTGATAAACTGAAGTAACACACATTGTACAGAGTATCTTGAGCTGCTTGTTTGGTTTATGTTGTTTTTTTAATTAATCCATAAAGAAGAAAAAAGTCTGGGCAGTTCTGTAATCTGTGAGGATTACTGAAGTCACCGTAGCAGTGATTTAACAAGGAAGCAGTATGGATAGGGATGAGATGGCAAACACATTGTAATGCTGTTATATTAATCAGTGCTGAAACTCTCTGTTTGAGTACGTATCTGGTAATGGTTGCTCTGTCTCAAAAGCAAATATCAGAGCAAGAGTTTGTTGAAAAAATTATTTGAATGTGGAAAATCTTACAAGAGAAAAGTTGAAAAAATGATGTCAGGAGGTAAGAAGAGTGGTGAAACATCCATAGGAAATATTGAAAAATATAGGGAAGATAGTTTCTTGTTACCTTTTCTCATAATACAGGAACTTGTAGAGAAGTTTGACCTTTAGGTGTATAACCTAAGTGACCTCGGATTCAAGGATGATACTTGACTTTTAAATTTTTAAATTTTCTTCTCCCAAAGGGCAATATCAGCAGGTAAATGTTCCTGAAGACCAAGCAGACAAGTTGCTCCTTGCAAGCTGGGGTCTTCCCAAAGCAGTTCTGGAGAAATACCACAGTCTGGGAGTAGTACAGATGTTTGAATGGCAAGCAGAATGCCTAATGCTTGGGCAAGTTCTGGAAGGAAAGAACCTAGTTTACTCAGGTATGCAAACATCTGAAAAAAACAGTCCTCCCTAACTTTCCCAGTGCCGTTTACAAGACCATATTGGTACTGAAAGGGTTATGATCTGGCAGATGAAAGGGTCAAGATCCTCTTTTTTCTGGAGAGACCCCATTAAGGTCCCATTGCTGTACCTCACACCTGGCTTGATGGCCTCTTTTCCAGATGTGAGGAGAGATGTTCTTCCCCGTTTTCTCTGTTAATGTTCCTTTAGAAACTGATAATTAGGAGTCAGTTAATGATGATTTGCTCTTTTTTTTATTACAGACTATGTCAACCAGGAACTGTATGATAACAGCAATGTTAGATATAAATACTTTGAAAATGTTATTTACTATCTAATTTTTTCAGTCCCTTTATTGTTTCTCTTCACCTAGCGTATGGCGGGGTGCAGAAGGAGAAGTAGGACTGGTGAACTAGAAATCTGTGGGGCACGACAACTTGGGTGTCTATTTTCCATGGGAAGAAGGTCCCAGAGCAGCACTGGGAGGATGAAGAATTTAGAAGAGGGGCGCGTTATTTTCTTAGGCCTGGATTTAAGGTTTATTTACTTGGTTCCAGAAGACTTTGGGCCTGATCGCTGGGTAGTGGCTGTCCCCTGGCATGTGGCATCTCCTTCACAGTTTTCTGTGGATCATAGATGGCAAACAGCAATGCTTGCCAAACAAGAGGGGTTAATGTATTTATGGGCTAGGTCAGTAAGGTGGTGGGTGGCTGAGCTCTCCTGTCCAACCAAGAGACTATAGTGGGGTTTTTTTGTTTGTTTGGGGTTTTTTGCACTTGCTTGTCTCTGAGCTGCTGTTACTTCTGGAGCAAAGATGAGAACACAAGTCTTGGTAGCATGATGGAGGAGGCTAGCAGATAAATTCTTTGCAGTCTTCTTGACCCTTTATGGGATTAACTGCAAATGTGGTTGTGGTTGTGGGAGACAGGCATCTGTTGAAAAGTCCTGCCCCAAGATCTCCAGTAACTGCTTTCTGTACTAGCTTTATGATGCTTGTTCCTTGGATTTTTTTTTTTTAACTTTAAAATTGAATTTTAAAAAATACTTTTTTTTTTTTTTTTAAATTTTAAATTGAATTTTAAAAAATTCTTTTTTTTTTTTTTTTTTTTTTTTTTTTCTTTTTACCCAGCTCCTACCAGTGCTGGAAAGACTCTTGTTGCAGAATTGCTTATTTTGAAGCGAGTCCTGGAGACTCGTAAGAAAGCTCTTCTCATCCTTCCCTTTGTCTCTGTGGCCAAGGAGAAAAAATGTTATCTGCAGGTAAGCAGCATTCGAGGGGGGTAAATTTATGAGTTGTAGTTGGATTTGAGGAAAAAAAATGCAAAGTTTCAGAAAGGATTTGTGGATAATTTAAAATTTCCTCTTGTTCTAAGTTGGAGATAAAAACCAAAAGTTTTAGCTGACAAGGGAAACTTGGAAAAATTTCGAGTTGAATGTCAACTTTGACTGTTAAAGCATTGTTACTGGCATTTATTCACAGATTTTATAATATACAAACTTTAAAGGAGTTTTCTAATTAAGAGATTGTGTATGAGAAGCTAGAAAGGGAAGGTGTCAACATTATCTGAAAGGATAAAAGGATGTTTTAGCTTTCCTTGGGGTGTTTCCACAGGAATTTTGTGCCTTTGATTTCACTTTGACTTTGCTAAAAAATTGTTCTGACAGAACATATTTATGTCTTGGCTTCCTCACCCCAGCTATTTAAAAACAAAATTACAGTGGGAACAGTCTTCTTAAAAAAAATGTATTTTTTCTTGAAAGACTTTCATATGAAATATTGTTTCCATTAGCTAATATGTCAAAGTAACAACAATTACTAAAACCAAGTACAAAAGCAGCAGGCATCCTGGCCTAAGGTTTGGCCGTAGCTACGCATACTTGGAATCATATGGTATCCTACCCATCTGGTTCAAACATTTGTACCTTTTGTTAACGCAGTGTGTAATGTGCCAAAGCTTTGGCACTGCAGTAATAAACTGTGGAAGAAGAGAAGTCCTTGTTTCTTGACTTTCAGTGGGAGATGTGACATCTTTGTGCTTGAGGTCCAACATGTGGCCCAGGATTTCTCAGGAGCAAGGCTTCTTTGTACATAACCCACTGGTATTATAAACTGTTCCGCTGTGTGTTCTCTAGCCTTTTCAATAGTAGATATTTTTATACAAAACTGTGATGCCCATCTCTTACTCAGTTATGTACACTTTATCCTGCAATGTGTACTGTGTGGCTTCCGCTTTGGAAATAAAAAATGTCAGTGGAAAAAAGAAGTATCAGTAGCTGGATGAGCTATGGCTTTAATCTGATTAGTTGGCATTGTAAGTACTAGAAATTGTGGTTGTAAGATGCAGGCTTTCATATGATTCCAAAAAGCATTGATCAAAATTCAGAGTTGTAACTTTGGCATGACATTCTGTATCCTTGGAAAACAGGCTCTGTTTCAGGAGGTGGATGTGCGAGTTGAAGGCTACATGGGAAGCATGCCTCCTGCTGGACCTTTCTCTGCCCTGGATGTTGCTGTCTGCACCATTGAGAAAGCCAATGGTCTAATCAATAGACTAATAGAAGAAAACAGAATGGATTCACTGGGTAAAATACTAGGGCTTGACCGTTGTCGGGATGAGGTTTATTACATACTCTGAGTACATGTAAAATCATGGGATAGTTTGTATTTGGTCAGTTCTGTGTGCGATAGACATGCCATATAGGAAAACTGAGCAATTTTTCTTCCTTCAGAGCACTCCTGATTTGTATTTAGGAAGGTAGTCGCAACTATTCTGTGTAGCTCAGCGGCTGGGGTGAGTAGGTAGAAGCTGCAGGTTTTAGTTTGTTTGACATGGATGACAATCCATGGACAGTGTAGCTGCAATAAGCAGTGATTCCCATAGCTAGAAAATGTTTTCTAATTAATGAAATGGAATTAAAGGTTTGGGATATGTTTGAGTTTAAGAATGTATGTATGTTCGTTTGTTTTGGACAGAGATTGTGGCATCTATGGTTTATCTTCACTTGGCTCAAGGAAGAGGGGGAATTGTGTTTGATGCTCATTTGGGTCCAGATAAGTAGAATGAATACGTAGTGCTCCTCTGGGTGGGCATGGTGGCTAGGAGGGCTGTGGCATTCGTTTATCTCATGTAGTTCGCTCAAAAGCCTTCTGTCCTTGTAACATAGACTACGGGGTCACCATGGCCCTGGTGGCAATATTCATTTAGTGTTTGGGAGGAGATATAAAACCTGAAGGAACCCTGTATTTCCAGTGTGCACTTGGAGAGAGACATGTTCTCCTAGTCCAGTCAGAAGTTTGTTCTTCTCTTTGCTTCCTTGCTCAGTAAAGCTGTACCCAGATATATCTTATGCAGTAATCACTCCCATCTTCACTCTGGCCTGTAACATAGCTGGTTGCTATTTGAAGAATGTAAAAATTGGAAAACTAGATGAGTATTGTGGTGGAGTCACCATCCCTGGAGGTGTTCAAGAAACGTGTAGATGTGGTGCTTAGGGACATGGTTTAGTGAGTTAGGTGGTGTGGGTTGGTGGTTGGACTTGATGATCCTTGAGGTCTTTTCCAACCTTAATGATTCTATGATTCTGTGATTTTATGTTTCTATTAAACTGCTCTGAGACCTTCACCTATGAAACTGCTGTTCCATGTGCATCTGGTGTCATAATATTCTGCAGCATTGTATACCAGAAGAGTTTTTTAAACAGAAGAGAGAATAAGGGAAATAAAACCTTGCAGGTTTTGTCAGAGTGCGAGATCATGGGGTAACACAGTCACACCTGGATCTCTAGAGGCTGGATCACCATGAATGCTTTAGACTGCCAGTGGGCTGGAAGATGAGTGGATGGATGACTGTGGTTGTGCAGCATTTTAAGCTCATTAAGGTTCCTGCAGTCCAGCCTGATTTGTGAATGTATTACTTCATCCTTTTCCCTGCAAGAGAACTGTCAATCATTCAGTTAGTTATTTCAATATATGGCTACTTAGTTTAGGGGGGTTTTTGTTTGTTATGAATAGGATTAGTTTGATCCTAGGTCACCGCACAGTACAAGCTGTACTGCCAGCATAAGGCAGAGAGTGGGGTCGTGATGTCCATATTTATGTTGGCCTGGGTGCCTTGGAAGCATACTCAGTATACTAAAAGGTGTTGTTTAATAATATCATCTTTCAGAAGCTAGAGATATGCCAAATCCCTTTGGTTGGTACCTCCATTCCATCCCTACATTTTGTTGTGCGCTCTAAGATGAATGTACCTGAGAGGAGTCGTATAAGTATAATCAGTCAAATGATTACAAGATTTGAGTTTGAACATGTGTCCTCAACACCGATACCTCCTTAAAGCATGATGTTTTTTCTTTCACCATTTGAAAACACCTCTGCTGCAACCCTCCATTTCCCTTGTGCCCCAATATGACCGCATAACTGAAATATGGGTAAAAATGTTTTTTTCTTTATATGCTTATTTGAAATTAATTTTTTAAATTAAAATAGAGTTTAAAAATCATATTTAAAAAGTTGATGCATTTTCTATTTGGAGATACATTTTCATAAAAGCTGCAACACATGCGCATAAGCTGAAAATGCCACTTTAACTGTCACCTAAAACAAGCTTGTCTGAAACTGCAAGATTGTACCTTGTCCTCTAATTAATTCTAAATTTAGACCAGTTCGTAAGGAGGGTGTTTTATCTTTTGAGAGGAGTTACTGGGAGATGACTGCAGTTCTGGCTGGTTTCCATCTCAAGCTTGAGCTGTTCCTTTTGTTGATGTCAACCCCCTGCTGATAGCTCACCTTGCCTTTGGAAATTTTTGAGAGAAACTCAAGCAGATTAAAGAAGAATCTGCTGCCTTCTCAACATGTCAGCTGGGAATGGATTTGTAATGTGCTGTTGTGATACTTCACTTGTTTCTTTTCTTAATTTAAACTTGAAATTAAAAAGTTACTAGTTTCATTGTGGGGTTTTTTTTTAATCAAATCCTCCCTGCCTGTCATTCAGGACTTTTAAAACAGGATGTAGACTTAAAGCAGACAAGTTATTCTACACTAAACGTGTACAATAGCTCTCACATACTTTTTAGTAGGTTTTTTCAGCAGTCTTCTAGGGACACACCTAATTTGCTGACAGAAAGAGGAGAGTGAGGCTAGCCTCCTTTTCAGTAGCAATGCAGCATGATGAAATTTTGGCTCCACTTCCACTCCTGAGCTTGTTGCTGAGTAGAAAATACCATTGCATGCTGGGACCTGTAGTCCTCCTTGGCTGCAATTCCATTTTAAGATGAGGATAACTTTGTGAAAAACGTTGTTTGCCTGATTGTTCTTGCTGTGTTATCCCAGTGAGTGTGTTCTGAGTACTGCCTGAATAGAGGAGAGCACTGTGCATGCGTGACAGGTCTCACCAGCCTGCAGACTGCCAGGATGATACAGTACACTGGTTTAACGTGGGTTTGAATATTTATTATGTATGAGTAGCAGTGGAAGGTGTAGAACAAGTGGCCCGTACAAGAAATAGTGGCATTCCCTGTGCTTTGGCTTGAAGGTACCACTAGCGTTCTAGGCATCATTTCAGGAAGAAAAACGTGCTGCTGCTTGGCACACAGACTGGAAAGGTAACTTGTAGGAATTTTACTTTAGTAGATATCTGATTACCCTGTCCCGTCTCAGCTGCTGGAAGAATTCAGACAGACTGTTGTACAGGGAAGCAGGAAGAAGTTTTTTCTAGTAGCTGAATAAATATCTATTTGGTGACCAACAAATTGCCATTTTTTACAAGTGAGCACAAAATAGAGAAAGTACAGGAAGACAGAGGAGCCGGATGGGTGGGAGTTTGTAAAAGAAGCCGATGAGGCAGTGCAGCACTCTTTTCTAACTTAAGTGGCTTGAAAGAGAAGGGAGGAGAAAATAGACAGAGAAAGAAGGAACATATGTAGGAAGCAGAGAAAAAAAATGAGAAGGAAAAATAACATTGAAACAGATAATATAAGGTCACATTTGCCCTTAAGCTCCTGCTATTTTAGCTGTACCAGGAAGATATTACATAGCTGCACCAAAGAGGAAAAAAAATTCCACAGCAGCAGAACTGATGAAGCGTGGTGTCTTCTATGCACTGCTTTAACCTCCCTTCAACCTCTTCCCTGTGTCTGTGGCCCCTCCAGCTGGCCAGAAAGGGTACATACTGCTGCTAGCTGGGATGTGTGCAGGAGGTTTGCTGGGTGGCTGAGTTGTAGGGGTTCTATGTTTTCTACCTGGGGGAGACCCTAATCCAGTCTGTTGTCTCCAGCTGCTGATATTCAGAAGGCTCTATAGACACTATTCTTTTCAGTATTTCTACACATATCACAAATTTGATGGAGGTGGTTGATAGGTTAAAAAGTCATTTGCTGGAGGTAAGATGACAACAGAGCAGTAATGTAAGGATTTTCTCATTAGAAAGCCAAAGTTAAATAGTAGAGCTCATTCAGGTTTGGTTAGTGAGAAAAGATAAAATAGGAAGCAGGCTATGCCAGTGTAATTAAAACTGTTCTAGTTTTTTTTTTTTTTCCCCCTGACATTACTGTATCAGTAAGGAGTGATGTTTTTAACTAAGACAGTGATGTCAACCAAGTTTTTGACTAGCTCATATGGTTGCTGGAATGTTCCTTTGCAGATACTGAAGCCTGGGGGTTTTTACTTGCAGAGAGATTAGAGTATAGATGCTACAATACTGTTCTGCATGGTGGCCAGTCTAACAACTCAACCTTTTTATTTTTATTTTTTTAAAAGCTGATTATATGTGTGACGTTGTGGGAGGTGTGAAATGTTATTACATTGGTTAGGATTTGTCTCTCTTAGAAGAATCTGTGACAGAAGGAAGCCATAGCAGTGTTGGTAAGCACAGCTGGATTTGTGGATATAAATTTCAGTTCATCATGTGGAACGTGAAAGGATCTGTTCTTAGTTTGGAGTTCTGTCAGATATAACCTGAGTACTTCTCTTTATCAGGAGTGGTTGTTGTGGATGAGTTGCACATGCTGGGAGACTCTCATCGAGGATATCTGCTGGAACTCCTTCTGACCAAAGTTAGATATGTTACAGAGAAGGTTGGAAAACGGTGGGTAGACTAGGATTTTGTCTTTTAATGCTAAATTATGGATGTTTCTAAATATTTTGTTCTATGGGTGATTAGAAATTTGGGCTAGCTCCAGGGTTTTTATGAGAGCGATGACCTAGACTATTTTGGTTATTAAGGTCTCATCATACCACCTCTCAGGAGCCTGCCGTGGTAGTGAAAACCTCTTTTACTCATGGTTTTCAATTTGTGTTCTATCATGGGATTCATTCTCCCAGGAAAAGAATAAGGCTGAAGCTTTAATTTACTTTTTTATTGCCCCCCCCCCTTTTTTTTTAACTTTGGATTTCTTTTAACATTTTTGCTAGCAGACTTGCCCTGCTTAATTTTTCAGTGTTCCATGAAATGCGGTATTTATCCTACTGAAATGTTCAGGTATTGTGGAAGGGTGGGTGTTCTGTTAACTTGTCAATGGTGAATTGATCAGAAGACATTGAGAATGTGCCAGCAGTCTGCTCAGTTGTCACTGCTCAGGGTGATCTGTGGTTTTGCTTATAGCATGCGATAGCCTAGTGCTTGCATGGTTTCTTGCCTCCAGCACAACCGACTGGACACTGAGGAACAGACTAAATGTTTCAGAAAAGCTTTAGAGGCTTTTAAGAATTCAGTATCTAGATCCCCAGCACCAAACTGCCTAGCTGCTCCATAGTGCCTGAACACAGACAGAGGCAAATGGAGGAGATGGTGTATCTGGCTTAATCTTGACCGGTGGTGCTGAGAGAAGAGTCAAAATCAACTGTTTCCTTAGCACCAAAAGCCAGATTTTGCCAGTTTTCTCTGCTGCTTCCTGTGTTGTGAGTCGTACCAGTGCTGGGCTAAGCAGAGACTAGCTCTTTTGTCCTAGAAGAACTGCCATTTCTACATTGGCTTGCCGCTGGATGCTATAGTCAGTATTTCCCATCTTGATTTCCAGGATCCAGCAGTGTTCTGGGTCTAATCACCCCTGACTTTTTCTTATGTTCTCCCCATAAGTCCTGGAAGCCAGTATACTTCAGAGCAGCGCGAGTGGCTTTGTCACTCCTTTTACCTGGGCATATCACGTAGCTGCAGCACAGATGCAGGACCACTCTCTTGCTTTCCTCCCTTGCATTGAAGAAGGAGGAAGGAGAGAACATCTATCAGGGAGAGTGTGACAGATGGATCAAAGAATGTTTCTGGGAAGACACAATACTTCAGCCTTCACCATATAGACACTGGGGTCAAGATCCTTTATCTCTCTGTCATGGTCAAGTTGACAGTGGTTCCCTGTACCACTTACTGACATGAAGGAGGTGGCCATTATTTTTGTTTTGGAATCCACTTGAGATTCCTGGAGTTGAAGACCACTTTTTCTCTCAAACATCCTCACAAGTCTGTGCTGCCTTTTTTTTTTTTTTTTTTTTTTATTTAATGGGAGACACTTTATCCAAATTCTTTAAACACCATCCAGCCTGACCTATTATCAGAATGAGCTGTGCTTTTAAGAGCTTTTTAAGTGATTAGGGGGATGTCCCACTGAAGTATGAGGCTGCGTCTCTGAGCCAGAGTGTTCTCTGATGGCTGTTACCAGTGTGGGTGCCCTTCCTTCTCTGTGAGGCTTTTGCAGACTGAGCCAAAATTCTGCAGTAGACTTTTCCCCCACCCCCAGTCGAAGAGAGTGTTGTGGAACTGGACTTTTCCAGTCCTTGAAGGTCAAAAATTGCTTCAGGGGGGAAAATCTGCGACCTAGATGGGGGAGCTGTACTAGCAAATGCTTGAAGAGCTTGGTTAAGCGAGTCTGCCTCTCCACATCTTCCTTATTTCTGTCTCGTCAGTGACTGCCCTTTTTTACTCCAGCTGCTGGGTCATCTTGTTTCCTCTGTGTTTTTTAGCATTATGAGGATCTTCCAAGAAGATTCAGGCTGTTTCTGAGCTTACATTGATTTGTCAGACCTTTTTCTTTTATAAAGTCTCAATTTATGGCTCAGTGCAATGCAAATTAGTAGTTTTTCAATGTGGATTAGGCACATAAAAAAACCCTATTGTGTGAATGTAAGCCTCAATTAAAATTTGGGTATCTAAATTAATGGTTTGTGTTTTCAGCACTGTTAAGAGTCCATTACTTCTCACTGAATTTAGTGGAAGCTGCTGTTCAGCAGTTTGAGAACTGAAACTGCTTTCTTTGCTGAAGTAAGGGCTTTGGTTCCCAAGTCTAGGAAGACCTTAGTCTAGTATTATTTGTCCTGAAATTGAAACAAATGGAAGTGTTTTAATTGAGCCATTTAAGCTTAGAAAGACTGCAGTAGAGACTGGACCATTTCTTTATTTCCATGTTTTTATTAATGGCAAGGAAATTGTTGATTTATTTATTTGTTTCCAGTTTCACTAAATACGCTGTCAGTTTATGACTGTTGTTACATAAAGAAGTTATTGTCAAAATGATGAAAACTTGAATTATCTTGTTACCAATGCATAACCTGACATTGTGCTTTCTCAGAGTAATGGCTTGTTTATTTTTCAAGAATTTGAAAAAAATAGCTTTGCACTTTAGACTCCAGAAGAAAGTAGATTCAGTTAGTTTTTCTGAATCCTGTTCTCCAGAAGCGTACCCTCAGTTGTCACTAACTTTCATTTTCTTTTGCCCACTTCCAGACATGCAAAGATGACCAGTCCTGGTTTTGGTGGGATACAGATAGTAGGCATGAGTGCCACCCTCCCTAACTTGGGACTCCTAGCCTCATGGTTAGATGCAGAATTATATTGTACGGATTTTCGCCCCGTGCCCCTCAAGGAGTGGGTGAAAATTGGCAGCAACATTTATGACTCCTCCATGAATTTAGTGCGGGAATTCCAGCCCAAGCTTCAACTGAAGGTAATAAAACTCTAAGCAGTGGCTTTGGAGTAACACCTTTTGTACAGCTAAAGTTAAAAAGAGAGCTACTGGTATGTTTTTAATTTTTTTTTTAATAGATGACATTCCCAGCTTCATTGTTTACTTCATAGATTGTATACTCAAAATAAGGACAATTGTTTTTTCTGTCTTCTACTGATATAAACAAAAACCAAACCAAAACACACACTCAGTAAGATCTTGAAGTTTCTTGAATGTGACTTGAAGACAAAGTTGACTGCAGGTATCTTGTTTCTGAGCACTTGACAGATGTAAAGAATTTGATTCTCCCCTTACACACCACCCTATCTTGTGTCCTGGACACTTTCATAAATGAAGGTAAATATTTCCTGGTTTGGGCCAAGGACTTTGCATTAATCATTGGGAGAATATATTTGCATTAGAATTAAACCTGCTTACATTAAACTGATAAATGATCTAATTTTGTCAGTGATTAGAAGGCGGATGTCCATCTTGATTCTTCTGAATCTGTTCTCGGTATTTAATTCTTTTGCACACTTGAAAAGGATATGAATATACTATGATGATTTGGAAGAACCAGATGGGTAGAAATGGGAAGTTTGCACTTCCTACTTGTAGGTTTATTTTCTGTGAAGTCTTTGAAGGGCAAATTCTCTCTCCTGTTCTTTCAGCTGCTCTGTGTGATACTAGTGTAGCAGTTGGACAATATGGGCTGAATGCCAGTAATATTTTATTTTGTGAAGTTTTGCATCCAGTTCTCATTGTGAGCAAACATTCAGTAGCACAGTGGCACAGCAAAGAAAAAAGATCCTAAAACAAAAGGAAATATTTTCGACAAGAATATCTGTAAGCTTGCTTTTATGTGGTCATATTGAGAAGCTGATGTTGCATCTCCTTTTCTGGATTTTTTTTAAATAGTTGCTTTAGATAGGTACTAAATTAAGTTGGAGAAAGAACTGAACTAGGCTTATTACTCAACAGTTTAAGGGGGTTGGCTTATTTTATAAGACCAAGTGATCCTTTCAGGCTTGAAATCTATCACTCAGCCTTCAGAATTCTGTGGCTCAAACTGGACCAGGAAAAGGAACTTGAGGACCTCACAACTTCTGCTGAATTTGGCTGAATCCTTACTGAGCTTTTGATGTGTATATGCAGTTCCTGCCATTGCTTCCCTGTTTTCCTTTGCATTTCAGTGCTCTTTATTTCTTACCATACCTTTTTTCTCTTCTTCCTTTGACCTGCTTGCTGGAAGAGAATCTGGCTTAGCCAAGCAAAGCAGATCAGTTGCAGGAACTCTCTTAGCATCTGAAAACCAAAAGGGCAAGCTGTAAACAGGGTTTTGCATGCATTTCTATATAAGCATCCATAAAAGCCTTCCATGGTGCTTTGAACACTTACAGTCTTTTTTCAGCAGTGCTTGCTGGGTGCTTCTTATTGGGAGTGCTCAGACTACTGCATCTCATGCTTTCAGTTCAGACATCCTGGTTGATAAGTCTTCCTTAGTTACTGTAGAGGGATGTTTTCCCTCAGGGCTCTTCCTAGTTCTTCCCCACTGCTGTTTAGCCACGACATGGAGGTTGCAGTGATTTTTTGTGTACTGTGTAGCCTTTATTCAGAAACAGATTTATGAAAGCAAGTTATAAAACCTTAGATTTATTCATGGGTAGGTCTAGGGCTGTCCTTAACAATATGGTAATACTAGTGGTTGGACTTCCTAAAGCAAGACAGAAACTAAGATAACAGTGCTCCATCTTATTTGTTTGCTCCTCTTTCTGACTTGTGACACAGAAGAATGACAGCATTTACAAACCTCATTCAGTGTGAGAGTGTATTGAAAATATTTTGTCTCAATTCAGGGAGATGAAGACCATGTTGTGAGCCTCTGTTATGAGACTGTTTGTGATGGCCATTCAGTCCTGCTTTTCTGCCCGTCCAAGAACTGGTGTGAGAAGCTGGCAGATATCATTGCCAGAGAATTCTACAGTTTGCAACAGACTGAGAGTAAGAGAAAAGTAGTTAATAGAAGACTGTACTATGCACAGTATCTTTAATGAAAATTAATTTTAGTAGAAGCTATAAAAATATTTTCTCTCTCAAGGTGCTGCAAAAAACTCAGTCCCTGCCCCAGTTGTTGTGGACAGAGAAGGGATAGATGAGGTTCTGGACCAGCTGAAGCGTTCTATCTCAGGCCTGGACTCTGTGCTCCAACGTACTTTGCCATGGGGAGTGGCATTTCATCATGCAGGTATTCTTGAATATCTTGGTCTTGAATTCTGTAATGGTCAAGTCATATGGGTTCTTCTTGCTGTAGTTACCAGCAATTTAACAGTTGCTTTTTGAAGCCTTCTGTAGGTTATGACTGAATTAAAATGATTCAAGAATCTCACAGGTAGAGGTAAACTTGAAATTCTTTTATTGTGGCCGAAGACATTAGTTCACTAATCGTTATGACAAATCTTATCTTTGTTGTGTTGATAACATCAACTTTTTAAATAAAACTTAAATTTTTTTTAGTGAAATGCCTGGAAAATTAGCTGATGTGCAGCCCAAGCATTTTCAAGTTGTTTCTAAAGCTGCCAGAGTATTTCAGAGCAACTTTCCTCAACGTAAGGAGGAAAATCTGAAATAGATGAGTAAATAGAAGAAGTATAACAATGCAAATGAAAATAGAAGAAGCACGGGCTATGAATGCTTCTGGCTTGGTCTTTTATTTCTTACTGAAGTAGACAGTAGTGCATGTCACCTGTTGATCCACTAAGAGAAAGGACTGACTCTGGAAGAAAGAACAGTAGCTCTGGCATTGAATGTGTAGAGGGAATAATTCTAAATGCTTATAGAGTGTGGATTTCTTTCTCATGAATAAAATTGGCCTCAAGGAAGTGTAGAAAGATACATATTAGGCCTGTAACCTAGAATGGCAATAATGAAGAAAGATTCCAGGGTCAGGATGGCAAATGACTGAATCCTAGTTCCCTACTCTGTGCGCTACAGCCAGTTTTCTTCTTTTTACTTTATTTATTTATTCATTTACTTACTTGCAGTGCTTGTAGATATGTAGTAAATAGTTGTTCATCTTGCTACAATGTGTACAAGCACTTTAGAAAAGTTAGCTTGTTACTGTCAGTTGAATAATGAAAACTTCATGGTGAAATTTTGCTTCACTTATGGTTCAAAAGAAGTTAACTGAGGTAGTGTTGCGAGTCTAGTTCCTAACACTGAATGGCGAACGTTTGTTAAGTTTGTTTGTTCTTCCTTTTCCTCGACAGTAATATTATTAACTCTTAAATGCAGTCTCACCATTACTAGGTTCACTAAAAGTCATCCCTCCTCAGGTCTTACATTTGATGAACGGGACATCATTGAAGGAGCTTTTCGCCAGGGCTTGATTAGAGTCCTAGCAGCAACCTCCACACTCTCATCTGGAGTGAATTTGCCTGCACGTCGAGTAATTATACGGACTCCCATGTTTGGTGGCAAACTCCTGGACATTCTCACTTACAAGCAGATGGCTGGAAGGGCTGGTAGGAAAGGAGTAGACACAGAGGGTAAGCAGAGGCTTTATTAACATTCTCCAAGAATGGTGATAACCTGATTAAATCCACAGCAGTGCTTCACAATTAGTGACTAATCATGATGAATTCCTGTGGTATTCAGTATGATTAAGTTAATCAAGATTAATTTTTTTGGTATGAATGGAGGAAAAATTCTAATTCCCAGGGGATTCTTTTCACTGCATGAGACTTACTTTGGTATTTACATGTCAGTTACTTCAGGAATGGGCTATTTGCTCCTTTGAATTTTTGTTAGCTTCTAAGGCTCTGTTGATCATTTGCCTTAATTCTGTGATCGATGGTCAGTTTACTAAAACGTTTACAGCTTCAGTGAGAAAATTTACAGTAAACTCTCATTGGACAGGCCTAAAATATAAGAAATGCATTTAAAGTCTACAACCATAATTTGACAAACTACTTCTGTTGTCTGAAGTTCTGATTTGGATTTATTAAACTTCCACTAAACTTAACCATAACTTTTATGGATCTTGAAAGTAGTAAAGTGACAGAGAGATAGGGAAATATGAACAGTAGTTCATAGATAATATTGTGTCTTCACACATACAGTGGCACTGATTGATATTCAACAAAATAATCCTGTTACTTGCATGTTATTTTAATTTGCAATGGAAATTTATCTTTATAGATTATATTTGGAAAAATTGTATTATACAAGTATAAACACAGTAGAAAATAAGAAGTTCAACAGAAGCGGGAAGCAGGGTTTGCCCTACTGATGGTTTGATTGGTGCCTGCTGGAATCCTACGTAAGCAGACTGTTCTTACGTGTAATTTTCTATTTTTGCCAGAGTAGCATAGCAACAGAGCATTTTGCAACCTGTGAGCTATCCCTATGTGATAAAGAAAAGGGCAGCTGAATGCTGCATTTTGAAATTTTCCAGACTTTGTCATTTGAGTGTAGCTGGCAGGTGTAAAATTACATTATTCCTTGAAGTTTCCTTTTTTCCCCTTCAAGTTACAATGATTAGTACCCTTTTTTGACAGTTCTGATGTGACTGTGTTTTGCACAGTAAGCAATTGATTTTATGCTGATGAGCTTCATGAATGTACCATTTTTTTTTCCACTCCACAGACTCTCTTGGATGAGAACATAAAGCTACATTACTAGCTGCTAGTCTTTTACAGAATAGGGAGACTTGAGGACAGCAACTTCATCTGGCAAAAATGCCTTATATGGATAAGAAATTCAACTGTCAGACAGAAGATAAATGCTGTTGGGTTGAATTCCTCCTCCCCTCCCAACATTGTAGTGTTGGATTGTCATGTACCTAAGGTGAAATAGGTAAAGCTGTTCAGTATTGCTGAACAAAACCTAGAAATGCAACAGGACCTTTTTCACTTTTAGTGGAGTTTTATGCCTAGACATCCAGAGTCTTCTGGTGTTTGTCTAGTCTGGTGCTAACCTAGATTTCCACTCTCAAATGAAATGTTTACTAAGGGTTCTTAGAACAGCTTAGTTGCTTTTTTCCCCCTTTTTTTCTTACTGCTTACTAGGTTTCAATTATTGGCTTTAAGTTCTCAGTGGCATCTTGGGAAAGGGTTTCCCTCAAGTATTGAATGACTGTCAGATACTGTAGAGCCAAGTGGATACCTATCTTCTGTTAGATTTCGGTACTGAAGAGTCAAAGTTTTCAGAGGGAATCATAGGTCACGTCAGAACCCAAATATGAAATGAGTGAACGTTCTTTATTGCTAGAGTCAAAATAAGCTTTGTGTTCACAAAACAATGCTTACAGGCAGTTTATCTTTTGTACTCTCAGCTCTGGCAAAAATACATGGTCAATTGTGGGAACCCTTTTAGAAGAAAAATACTCATGTTTATGGGAACCTTTTTTAGAAGAAAGTCCTCATGTAGTTGATTTCTACTACAGGAGAAAATAACACCTGCAAGGGATGAGAAAGAAAGCAATTATACAGAATGTGAGTAAGATAAGGAGGAACTGAAGGTAAATAATCAGCATGACTAAGTAATTTTAAGGCTCCCGTTCCCAGGACTAAAGTTAGCCAATAGTAACTTTGTTTTTAGGATTTTAAAATCATTGTATCCAATTAGTAACTGCCATATCTGCAAGAGCTCTGTATAAAAGTGTGTAATCGAGGCATAATAAATGGCAACAGTTTGATCATATTGGTCTGCGTCTGAGTCCATACCAGCGGCAGTCAACCGATGTCAAAAGTTTCACCTAAAACGATAAAAAAAATTCCCAGAGACACATCCTCTGAGCATGTCTTTCATCCTGTAATTCATTTATGTAATCATGTTTAAGCTGTATTCGGTTACTCACCTACACTGCACTTGTATTTATTCTGTTCATTAAATTTCAGTGCAGTTATGTTTTCATTACCTCTGGATATGCTAGTTACTGTAGCATTACCATGGCTATGTTTTTATCATCAATAAACATTCCTAGGATCTTACCAAGGTACTCTCTAACAAAATTACCTTGGTATCCAGACTATGTGCACTTTAATTGCAACAAGTTATCATCAACCTATTGTGTTATTTACTGTCCAGCTAATCCAAATCAATTACTCTCCTCTTAGTCAAAAGCAAGCTTCCCCTACCCATAATTAATTTATCCGGTGCCAACTGGCAAAGCTTCTAACTGACTAGCTAGGTCTCTGCAACAGCTCTGTTGAAAAAGTCTCCATTATATGACCACTGCATTTTCCATGGGTAGTCTGTACTATTATCTCATGAAAGGAATTGGCCCTATTTTTTTTTTTTCTTTTTCATGCCTCTGGGACCTTTTTTTTGTCTCCCACTGAATTTTAGTAGGTAGGGATTGTCTTAATGTCTGATAGAGAATTTTGAGGTAAGGTATATTTAGATGTACTTTCAGTGGAAACCATTAAGTACACTTAAGATTTTATGTGTGTGTATATATATGCATATATGAAAGTTCAGAGAATGCATAGTTACTTAGATTAATAACTTTGTATTTCTGAATTACTCTGGTATCTGTGTTATTTCATTTTGGGAGTGGAAGCTGGTTGACTTAACACGAACTGTCAAAGTGCGGTGCAGCTTTTATGTTTTCTTCTTGCTTTTGAGAATCTTTTCAGTTTAATAATGTAGTGCAGAAGAAAAATTGATGCCACTATATATTATAGTTCCAGTCAACTCAAGAACAAGAAGCAAGACTGGTTCAGCAACAAAGCAGATGTACAGAGAGGTTATGGAAACTCCTTAGCTGGTTTATCAAGACTCTGAACAGCTTAATGCAACTTTGAAGTTAGCTCTGCTTTTAGTTCTTAAGTATTATGCATCTGTGGAGTTCTTACGTAGCAATAAATATACATTATTCAAGGTTGCAAAAGGTTTTTTTTTATTCAGCTTTTTCAAAAATATGTACAATTTTCTAATGCAACTTCGAAGTTAGCTCTGCTTTTAGTTCTTAATGAATACATTATTCAAGGTTGCAAAAGGTTTTTTTTTATTCAGCTTTTTCAAAAATATGTACAATTTTCTATTCCAATATGTCCTTGATGTAGCTATTACAGTGCTTAGATGCAATACTGGGGTCATTAATGTTTTTTCAGGGGTTTCTTTGTTTGGTTTTTTGTTTGTTTGGGGTTTTTTGTTTGTTTGTTTGTTTGTTTGTTTTTTAATTTTATTTTAAATTTTTTTCCTGTAGGTGAGAGCATTTTAGTTTGCAAGCCCTCAGAAAGATCAAAAGGAACTGCTCTACTTCAGGGATCTCTCAAGCCTGTTTGCAGTTGTTTGCTTAGAAGAGAAGGCGAAGGTGTGGCTTCTAGCATGAAAAGAGCAATACTTGAGGTACAGGACATGTGGTGAAGGATTAGAACTGTGCTTGCACTCTTGTAATTGTAGAATGGTTTCTTTTGTGACACCATCAAATGTTTCCTGTGCACTTTCTTTTTCTTCTGTTTCCTCCCTTGTCAACCCAAGCAGCTTCAGAAGAAAATTACTTAGGTCTGCCAGCTTGCTTTAGTGTTCAGCATTTTGTTTGGTATGTTTCAGTCTCTGCTTGCTGCAGATTAGGATGTGAGCGCACTCAAACAAGGGTTACTAAGCTTTGCATTTGCATTTAGATATACTCTAACTGCAGGCAGAAATAAGTGTAATTCTTAAACTTCATGTGTGACCCAACAGTCTTAACTGGGAGATGCTTGTAAGTTACTGATTCCAGGGGCTGTGTAGACTGAATTGGCCGTAATGACATTTGTAGAACCTTGTAGGGTCCCTTATTTCCCCCCTCAACTTATCTTTCTCTTTTGCTCAGAAATGACTGAACTTTTGAAAATACATTTTTGGTGAACAAACAGGTGTGGTACCCAGTTCACTCTCCCTCTTAGCCTGCCCTCTTCTGTAGGGTTCCTACAGGAGTAAAAAGGTCCAAAAATATATTATTCCACATAGATGAGCTTATCCTCTTTTCCAAAGTTCCTTTTGGGCTTGAACTGAGCTTAGAGTTTTTAAATACAGTTCGTTTGCTGTGCTATGCCTACTGTCTTGTGAAAGCTGCTGTGGTACTTAGAACTTCGTTGTGATTCTGTATATTTTGAATTTTCAGCACACCAATGGAATTTCTAAATGCATTTTTCTACATAAGAGCTATCTAAAAGTTGGGAGTTCCTTTCTGGTGGTGTTGCTTTATAACATGAAAAAAGTCCATTGAAACCATGAAACAAAGTTTTTAGTTAAAAACCTTGCTATCTCAAAGAAGACACACGCATGGAAATGACTCACAAAGAAAAAGAAGTTATGAAACAAAATGAAAACAAAATCCGAGGGAAAAAAAAAGTCACTCTCGATCAGGAAAACAATGATGGGGTATAGCATTCACATTTATTAAGAGAAAACTTCGGTATGCTGAAAAGCCTTAGGAAAACTCCTCTTTCTGGTTTGCTTTTTGTGTTCTAACCTTTTAAAAGTATTTAACAGTGTTGGCTAAGCAAAATGGCTAGGGCTAGTCTCAAATCTAAATTGCTACTATGTGTACGTCTGCTATCAAAATAAGATTCTATAATTCGTTCTTTCCCATAGCTTAGTCCTCGTACTTCTGCCTAACGTATCTAACTTCTTGCCAAGGAAAGTCCTTAAAGGCTGGCAGTTGCTTTGCCTCATGCTCCCTTCTCATACTGGTTCTTTAAAACTTAGATATCAGATGGATCAAGCTCTTTGATTCTCTGATCTGATGTTCCATCCTACTGCTTCTCTGGCAATATGAACAAGTAGTTTTCTTCAACAGATCATAGTGGGGGGAGTGGCCAGCACTCCAGATGATGTGCAGACCTACGCTTCTTGCACTCTTCTTGCATCCAGCTTGAAAGAAAGCAAGTGGGGAAATGAGAAAGCACAAGACAAAGCACAAACTGGACCTATCGAGGCTTGTGTGGCATGGTTGCTGGAAAATGAATTCATTCAGGTTCTAGACTCTGGCAATGATGTGAAAGGTAACATTTCTTTTTTTCCCAGTGATTGCAGTTAGCAGTTTTGAATCGGTAAATCTTCTGCAGTTGGGTAGATGTTCAATGTAACTTTACAATGAGAACTTTTGTCCATTTTTGTTTGTATTTTTAAGAATCATGTGTATCAATTTTTTAGCTTTCTGGAGGGTGTCTTTTTACCTGCTTTAACATTTTTTGCATGCACGTGTTCTTGGAAGGCCTGTCTCTGCACATCACCTCTAAGACTGATGCATCCTAGTCTACAAATTCCCAACTATCTTTAAACAAGGCATACTTTTACTACAGGATTTCTGCACATTAACTGTAGACTATGATTTTTGTCTGCCTTAAGAAGAACCAGTACTTTCTAAGAGAGTGCAAGTCTCTTCTAGAACTGCTTGGTGTATGTGGTTGTACTTTTTCCTGATTTTGGCTGTTTTCTTAAAATGGCTAAGAATGAGACTCTTGCAGTAATAGAAAGAATCCTCATTACAGGTTATTTCCTATCTCTTTTTAAGAAAAGATGATAGGAGGTATTTGGTGTTCCTAAGAAAGGAATGCTCAAAATGATAACTCCTGGGCAGGACGGCAGATGGGATTCCAGTGGTTTTTGTTCACATAGCTATCACAAATGTTACTCTGAGTAGTTAAAGGGATCCAAGCTTGTGATCTGACCTCTGGAAAAGGCTAGTTTAGATTTAGACAAGTCTAAACCTTTTATTGTTTCAATTTTCCTGTCTTCAGAATAGAGAAATATGCAATTTTTCTTGAAAAAGCAGTTCGGAAAAGTTACTAGAGTTGGTATCTATAAAATACACTGCAACCTGAAAATCAGATATAAACTTGCACTTAAATGTTTCTCTGTGTGTTTTTGGTTTTTTTTTTTTTGTTTTGTTTTTTTTTTTAAACAGGAAAGGTTTATCATCCAACACATCTTGGCTCAGCTACTCTTTCCTCTTCTCTTTCACCAACTGAAGCCATGGAAATCTTTGCTGACCTCCAGCGATCTATGAAAAGCTTTGTTCTGGAGAATGATCTGCATATTGTCTATTTGGTAGGTTCTTTATTCTGTGTCTTTTATTTTGTACTGCCAAAACTAAGGAAAGGAAAGAAAGCACAATGCAGAGTTCTTGAGGGCTCCTTGTACATAAGTTTTTTATTGTTTTTTTGCTTAGCTCATCCTGCATGAAGAAAAGTTTCTAAATTGAATATTCTTCAGAACTAGTCTATTCCTGTAATGTCTATTATGTAGGCAGGTGCTGCATGTCCATCTAAGCCCATTGTTGTCACTCCTGACTTCGAAAGATTTCAGAACTTTGCAAGTTTTGGCCACTGGATAATGGTAATTTTTCTGAGACACTTGAAGTTGATGAAACAAATTGGTTTTGTTGTGTGTTTGGGATCAGCAGGCTGCATCTCAGATTGCTTTTGGCGGCTCAGAAAACTTTTGGAGTTTTAGCATCTATTTTGCATTAAAAAAGCCTCAGAGAACTACACTTTTTTCTTCCTATGGGTGAGCCTTTCTTTGGTTCGGTAACAGTGAAATTAATCTCTGATTTAGTTTACTTGTCTGGTGATGCTGCCAGGGCTAACAGAAGGAGTGTGATAAATCTTTTGAGGGGAAAGTGTCCTGAAGTTTGCAAGACTTATGTGCATGTACACTTAAAAACCTAAGCAATGCTATTTAAGACCTTTGGAGAGGAAGCCATGAACCTGTGAAGATTAGTGAGGAAATAAGATGGAGTTGCAGTGAACATCTCAGGATTTGCAGCTGCCAGAGGCCCATCATGCAATCATCATCTGAAATTTGACAGTTGTCTTTAGCCTCCTTAAGTATAAAGTATATTCTCTTTACCAGGCTGGTAAATCAAAGGCAAAATGTGCACATCTTGCCTGAACAAAAAAAGGTCATTTCAAGGAGAATATGCTTGCGGTTACAGCAGTTGTTGAGCTAGGGGACAGGGGGAGACAGGAGATTGAGGGTGCCTGTCTCTGCTTGCTATGTTCATTAACCTAGTTATTGGCTGATATTGATAGATTTTTTGGATCTACTAGTGTCCTGTATGTACCCGTATGTCTGTTTATAGAGGACCACATTATATTTTGTCCTATTGCTGTTAGTCAAAGTGGACTGTTTTGTGTCATACACCAGTGAACTTTTTCCCCTGTTTGCATCTCCAAAACAAAAAAAAAAGGGTGAATTTTGTTCATGTTCTGGGGTAGAGACAGTAATGGCAATAAATTTTTTTTACCTTGTACTTTTTAATTGCAGTAGCTTGTCTGATGTTAAAAATCAAATACACTGTTGAACAAGATGTTCTTGAGATTCTCTTTCATTAAGCTAGCCTTAAACAGTTTCTTGCAAGTCTGTTCATTTTCAGGGCTGAAGGTTTGTTTAGTTTTGGTGGCTTTTAAAAAAAAAAATTGTTTTCTATGTGGTATATGGGCTGCAAGGAAATTATCTGCTGTAATGCTTTTAAATTCTCTTAGGTTTGAATCTCTTACTTGTACAAATATGAGACCGAATTCCAAGACCTTGTATTTTAGGAAAGTTGATTGAAACAAATAGGTATTTGCTTGGCTAGGAAAACAGTTTTCTTTAAAGAAAAAAAGCCCCTTAAAACCCCAACAAACAACAAAACACAATCCTCCACCTTAAAAACTCTTGTTCTTCTCAGCAGATGAAGAGGCATGGATGATTTACAACCAGGCAGGCATTTGGTATTCTGTGTTATATTAAATGCTCCCCAACAACTGTTAGTTATTTCAAAATAATTAATCTTGCAGTATATCAATAAAGATATGAAGACATTTTGTCTCATACTGAAACTGATTCTGAGCTGACTGAACAATAACAGAATTGGTTTTCTACCTGAAAGTGTGTGAATGCTCTGGGTGGATTTTTTGTTGGTGTTAATAAAAATTGAGATTTCTTGTACTCCAGGTAAATGAAAGCTTCACTGAGTTCTGGCAAAATCTACGTTCCTTCCTGCTTTATCACATGCCATGGCAGTGGTTAGTGTTGTTGCTAGTGATTTTAAGAGGTTGCTGGATATCTGTCAGTTTTGTTAAAAGGAAAAAGTTTTGTTTTGTTAAAGGAGAATAAAGATGCAGCTTAAAAATCTTCTAATGGCTTGGATTTAGGGCACAATCTGACAAAGATTCCAAATTGTTTAATCATTAGAGTACTCGTATGAGTCAGATCTCATCAGTACAAATATTGAAAAAAACTAGGTTAGAAGAGCTTTTACTTTCTTCAGGGTACATGGTTATGACTCAGTGCCTCTGAGTAGTGTGTAGGATGCTCTAACCACATTCCCTAAGCTGTATTTTTGTTTACCCAGAGCTCTCTTCTGTGTGAGTTTCTCTGAAATAGTTTTTTGCATTGTCTTCTTTTCTTTAGGTCACCCCAGTGTATGAAGAGTGGACCACAATTGATTGGTACCAGTTTTTTTGCTTATGGGAGAAGCTGCCTGCCTCAATGAAACGTGTGGCTGAGCTGGTGGGGATTGAAGAAGGCTTTCTGGCTCGCTCTGTAAAGGGCAAAATCATAGCTAAAACAGAGAAACAGCACAGACAAATGGCCATCCACAAAAGGTAGGTACAAATGGGTGTGAACGTGCAAAGTTTCGAGGCCATGACATGTGGAGTGAACAGGCTCTGTGCCTGTTTTCAGGAACTTGCTGTTCTGCTAAGTGAGCTGATGGCTCACAGTGCCTGGACCTGGTCTGCTCTGGACTGAAAACATTGCTGGCACAAGATGTTTGTGCTGATGTTTTTGGAAGTCATCTTCTCTGTATCTTTTGTGTGCTATGCCATACCACCATTCTGTCCTTTGCTATCATGGTGCATTTTGCCATGTAGACTAATGTGCCCTGGATGATGATTTTATTTCCATGTGTACTACTTTTACAGGTTTTTCACTAGTCTTGCCCTTCTGGATTTAATCAGTGAGGTTCCCTTAAAGGATATGACCAAGAAATATGGCTGTAGTCGTGGCCAGCTTCAATCCTTGCAGCAGTCTGCTGCCACCTATGCAGGTGAGTTGTCTAGGCAAAATACCCCAGGAGTCAAGCTACTTTGTTTTCTTTCCTTCCAGATACAGGGATAAGATAGCCACAGTGCAGTACTAACAACAATTAGTCTCCTAAAACCAATTCAAGCTTTGTAGCTTAATCTGTGGTTGCCCCTTCTTGAGCTGGAACCACAGAGTATGCTGTGGGAAGGAGGCCAGCTGAGTGGAATCAAGCAGTGCTGTAGCATGATGAGGTCTGTGAAAATCATCTGTGTACTGTGCAGGAATGTTGTTTGTTCAATACTAAGTATGGAAATTAAATACAAGCCTATTCTGAGGCTATCTACTCTTTCTATCAAGAAGGAGTACCTTTCAGCATGGGTAAAGTTTGGGGTCTCTAAGACTTAGCATGGCTTTCTCCTGCTTGCAAAGTTAACTGTCCAGAAAGTATAACTTTATAGTTTTCAAAACAGAGTGAGTAGGTTCTGGATCATTTATCACCAGGTAACAAGAGGTCAGATACATGTCATCTTCAACTTAACTTCCTTAAGAGGGCTGTGGAGGGGTAGAAGTAATAGCCTACCATGTAACTGAGATATTTTTTTTTATTGCCTAAGTCCTCCATTACTCCATAAGTGGGTCTTCAATTTTTAAGACAGTTTTAGCTCAACTTACGAAACCCTGTGTGTGGGTTGCAGCATGAGTCAAAGCCCCAAAATAAAAAGGTCATGCCAACAGATGCAGAGAAGTTTAAATTAATTCAGGTACTATAAATAACTTTTTGTTATAGCAGTTTAATAATGCTCCATTCCCAGTTTTAATATTTTTTGCAAAAGTAATTTGGGAAGTAAAATGAACTGTTGACATGACACACAGTTAAGAGATACGATAAAAGTTGTGTTCTGTAATCACTGTAAAAATAGTGAGGGATGCCGTGTCTTTCAGTTGTCTTCATATTCTGTACATGCAATCTGTGAGTAAGAAACTGCCTTTTCCCTGCTCTTTTCCTCCTCCCATATGCTGGGGACTGCAGTGGTAACAGATAAATCATAGGTTTTGCTACTTTTGGTGATGTTCTCAGTAACTGAAGTTCTGCAGGCCAAGTTCTGCCCTTCTGGACATCAGTGCTGGCTTTCCTCAAAGATCTGTGGCTTCTCTTATTGCCTCTCGTCACTTCTTATTCTGTCTTCTTTTCTTCTGTGTTCCAGGAATGGTAACGGTTTTCTGTAATCGACTGGGCTGGCACAACATGGAGCTGTTGCTCTCTCAGTTCCAGAGCCGCCTCATTTTTGGGGTTCATAGGGAGCTTTGTGACCTGGTACGGGTGTCTCTACTGAATGCACAGCGTGCTAGGACACTTTACAACGCTGGCTTTGTCACAGTGGCTGATCTTGCTAAAGCCAGTCCTGATGATGTAGCAACTGCTCTGAAGAATTCGGTACCATTCAAAAGGTGAGAAATCAGTAAGTCCAAAAGTCAAATAAAGGAGTTTGTAAGGTGAAGGATTACGGGATGAAACCTGTGTTTAATTATGGTAACCTTTTGGGACTCGATGCCAAACTTTAGTTAGAAATAACTTGTAGGTCTCTGTGACAGATCACAGTGGTTCCATGATTATTTTAAAATTAACAGAAGCATCTTTTATTTGCAGCATAAGTTTGTGAGACCTAAATTTTCTGCTTGTTCCTTGTTTCAATGCAGTGTTTAGTCCTGGGTGAATTGTTAATGCTTTCTGAAGGCCTTTTGCTGCCTCTAAAAGGCAGCTCCACCATATGATCAAATGAGTTGATGATTTATTACTGTATATCATTTGAGATTCTCTTGTGATTTTCATGTTTGTGCAATGATGAGCTTCCTTGATCAAGTACCTGTTGGACTGTGCCGTGACACCTGTCTGTGTTTCTGAAGTTTCCTTTCTTTGGAAAACTGTGTATGGAGGAGGATTGATTCACACCTGGATCTTGCCCTAGTAGGGAGCTGGGACTTAACTGGGGTACATGTTTGGACACAGAAACTTGGGAATGCTTCTGGGGTATGCAGCCAGTAATATCCTTCATTGACATCAATTCACATACAGAAAACTGAAACATGCACTGTTAAATGCATTATATTTTGGATATAGTGCTTCTGTGAAGTTAGGAAGCTGTGAAGCTAATTGAAATGGGAGTGGAGCAGAACAATGCCAGCTCCTTGTGTTGTTTGTTATTTTCTGCATAAATGTTTACATCTGTCTGTAACCTTTCTCATAGTGTTCGCAGGGCAGTGGATGAAGATGAAGAATCAGCAGAGGAGCGTCGGACTGTGCGCAGTGTCTGGATGGCTGGAATGAAAGGCTTAAGTGAAAGAGAAGCAGCTTCCCTCATTGTGGAGGAAGCCAGGGGACTTCTGCAGCAGGATTTGGCACTGATGGGAGTGCAGTGGAACCCAGAGTCTTTTCTCGAGTCTGATACAACCTCTATGATCAGCAGCGAGTCAGAACTGGAAGACAGACTACATAGATCAAATGGAGAGCAGTCTTCTGAGTCTTCTATGGTGTTAAACAAAAAAGGGTGCAGAGTTCAACATCATAATGGCCTTGGTTCTCAGTCTGGAAATGTATCAAATATTAAAAAGCGATATAAAAGGCGACTAAGCAGTAGTACAGAAAACTCCGGATTTGAGAGTGAAGTCCCAGGCAGGAGACAGGTTCAAGCAGAGGAAGGCAATGAAGATATTGTATACAGCGCTAGAAAACGGCCAAGTATGTGCAGAGATAATGAAAGTGTAGAAGGAATTTCTCTGGTCAAAACCAAGATGGATTCCAGGAGAGCAGTTCTGGAACTCCTTACTGAACAAGGAAAAACACCAACATTGAGAGCAAAGTCTTCAGCCTCTAGATTGATAAGAAGTACGGACATGCATTTAAACCGAACTAGGAACAAAAATACTGCTTCAAAACTGCAGAGGTCACTTCTTGAAGATTCAAATATGCTTAGCATAGACATACAAAAGCCGCCTGGTTTTAACCCCCCCATCTCTAAAGGTAATTTTTTTTCAGACCAAAATAATAAGGAATTTAGGGAAACCAGGTCTGTAACTCACAAAGTGTCAAATTTTGTACAGATGGAGGAAATTAATCTTGGGAGGATGGATAAAATGGAACGATTGTTTACAGAGCCTACCACCACTAATGAAGGCATGCCTAAGGGGAGAGCATATTTTCAGGCACCTGTTACGTTGCAGGGTGCTCCAAACGTCAATGCGGAGACACGTAATACTGTCGGAAGTCTAGTGATACCTGCTAGTGCTAGGACACAGAGAAATGAAAATACTGGTGATAAGCAGAATAAAATCAATAAAATGCAAACAGATGCAAGCTGTGCTGAGGTGATGATTGGTAAGCAACAGGTGGCTTTAGATACAGATCACCGTAATGTAACTGATAACTGCTCTGGAAATGGACATGTCCGTAGTGGCAGCAGGATACAGAAACCTGTGCATTTTGCTGGTGAGGATAAATCCTGCCGTACTCAGATACAGAGTGGTGGCAAAAATGGGAGCAAAAAACCAAATGGAATATTATTACAAGCTGGAGCACTGCAGAATGCCAACAGTCATCCTAAGGATTTTCAGAAAGTTTCTCCAGTAAAATCCAGAGGTGTTTACAATGCAGGTCATGTTCAGAATGGTCCATCCTCTGCCCTGCTTTCTGACTCTAGAGACTTTGAAGACAGCTTCCAGTTGGATACTCAAACTGAGTTGATAATAAAACAGGAGGGAGCATCTGGAATCGCAGGACAGCACGGAATACAAGGTTTAGAGCTGGCAGCGATACCACGGCAGGAAGTCACCAAGAGACTAAGCACTTCAGGGACTGAGAATGCTACTGATGAAATGCTGCCTGCTACAGTTACAAAACTGGGCTTATTGAGTCTTGCCACAACACGTAACATTACAAAAAACACTGCTCAGCACTGCAGTAATAAAGTCTTGGAGTCTGGAGGCCTTAATTTACGGCCCATAACGACAGAAATAAAATCTGCACCTTACCTTAAAGAAAGCGATTTCTCAGTGACTGACTCCCAGCTACACAGTTTTCTACAAGATTACCAGACCCAAAATTCAGTGAAAGAGGAGACTATCTCTAAAGACCTTAATAAAGCAACCTCCCCTTTTCGGAGGGAGCCCATTGTACAAGTAGAATGCCACGCTGTCTCCGAAACAAGCCTGAATATGAGTGATAGCTTGCTGTTTGATGATAGCTTCAGTAATGTCAGCGACCTTTCAGCTGTTCACATCACAGAAGCTGACAAAAAGGAGCCCTTGGAGAAGCAAGGGGCTTTGCTTCCTGCAGAAAGTCTTTTGCAGAACCAAAGGCCTGTTGAGAGGAAGTTTGATGTCAGTGGCAATCCAAAACAGCATGAGGATCCTGCACAGTGCAACAATATGTCTCTAACATTCTCTGATCCAATAGCTGAAGTTTTAGATCATGCAAACTCCTCATCTTTTCTGGAAGATGTTCCTTCTACATTTCATGGTTGGTCAGGATTAAGAAACTCAGTGGTTAGTAACAATGACCCCAGACCAAAAGATTTAGTAGGAAATAAAAGTGAAAAGCTTCAGAGAAGCCAGCAAGCTTTAGACAAGAAAACCTGTCCAATGGTGTGGACTGACCACTCGTTTGAAATAAGCCCAGGATTGCAGGATGTATTAGACAAATGGCCTAGTCCCTCAGGCATAGAACCAGTTTCAGTAAGCTTCTGTTTGAAAGAAAAATTAGTTACTCCTGTTGCTAATCAAGAGCCAGATCCCATTTTTGAATCTGACCATTGTCAGCCGAAGCCTTTGCCCACTTGTCAGGATTTAAAAAGCTTTTTCGAGGTAAAAGAAAACAAAACGGAAGACTTGGATCTTCAGAAAACAGACTGCATAACGCTTCCACTCAAGGGAAGCAACAGAACATCCTGTCCTCCACCAGATAGTAATAATGTATTTATTCCTCCAACACCCCCTAAAGAGCTTTTTCCAAAGAGTTCTCTTTCTCTCTCTGTGAAATCTGCAAAGAGACAAGTTGCCTGCACGAATGAACAGCAGCTGATTCAGCCGCAGCAGAACAGCAAGGGCAATGCAGAGCTGCAGGTAAAAACACTCCAGGTCAGTCCTGGGGCTGTAGACCCAATTGAGACTGATGAGATAAAAGATGATTCTACTATAGACCAAAGCTTTTCACTGCAGCTATCTCAGGATGTTTTTCCACTCGTTCCCTTAAGTGCTGAAAGTTTCACTATTATTGATGTAGCAAGCGACAAAGCACTTTTCCAGACTTTTGTTGCAGAATGGAAAGAGAAAAGCAGGTTCTCGATCTCAGTGGCATGTGAAAGAACAAAATGTCTTTTGTCTCCCAAATCAACAATCGGTGGCAAATTCAAAAAAGGTCAGTTCTGTGTTCCAGCCCATTATTTTGTGACCAGCAGGGTGGCATCTTCAGCTTGAAGGAAGGGTAGTGGGGGAAAGGGTTTGCAAAAAAGGAGGAAAATTACAGATATTAATTGAATATTGTCAATCTCAGTAAAGCAAAGGAGCTGAGTGTTAGTAGAGGATGGAGAATTGGTGTCAAGCATTTAATTGGTAGGTCTTTGGTGATAGTAATGTAGTGTTAGCAGCTTGTTTGTATTTGAGAGCATCTAAATATTCTTAGTGTTTCATTGTATATCAAATTTTGAAATGGATCTGTGTTGTGCAGTTCCCTTATCATGTATCTTTCCATGTCATAAACAAGTTGTAGCATATTTTAAAATCAATAATATATTTAATAATAAACTGTACAGATTGTTCAGGGTCTCCACTGAGCAGTGTTGCTTGCAGGATTGCCTCTGAACCAAGGTGAAATATTTTCGAGTTTGTAAAAAGTAAACTTGGTTCAATATAGGCATGTGCAAAATTCAGATCATTCTCTGGATGGTTGCTGTATTGCTTCCTTTTTTTCCACAGACATATTTGCATGTTGCAGTTTGCTGCTTCTGTATAAACATACTCTTCCTTTAAAATAACAAGATTAAGCAGAGTTAGATTCTTTGCTGTCATATTGCAATAACAACAGCAATGAAACTATCAAAATACATTTTTGACAGACAAATGTGAAATGTTTTTCAGGGTGAACGGAGGGAATACATTTCTGTCTCAACTCTTGAAGAGAATGCTAGCAAAGGCCAGAGTTTTGCAGAGGTTCTATATAGGTGGTTGTTTCTGTTAAGTTTTGCCATTCTCAGCATGTTGGGTTTTGTTTCTGTTTTCCCAAAAGAAACACAGATTTTTCTCCCTATAGATAAAAATGATGGTATATATTAACTTTTAAGAAATTTAGGCTCAACTGTATGTATTTCCATTTTCAGAATCCAACCTCTTCTGTATTTATGGATGCTATTTTATAATTGTAACTTAAAAATTATTCCTTTAGTAAGTTCTCCTCAGTGGACGCATGTTAAAGATGATGGATTTCCTGTCCAAGGCTGTGAAGACATCTTGGTAGTTGGACTGGCAGTATGCTGGGGTGGAAAAGATGCCTACTATATCTCTTTGCAACAGATACAAGACCAGACTGGTAAGTGAGTGGACAGGCTGTGCCATGTTATGTGACACTGCATTTCAAGAAAGTACCTCGAGCAGATAGGTTCTTGGAAGTGTTTTGAGTGTCCCAAACCCATCTCAGTTGTGTGATGGAGTAATTTAGGCGTATTATTCAGCAATCTTAAGTGTTGAACACCCTTGAACATGTTGCTGTGGATACATCTATGATGCTATATAATAAGGCCAGGTAATTGGCTCAAGCCCTGGACTGCTGAGCATGCATATGGCTAAAATGTTAGCTTACTTGCTATTCTCTTTCGACCTCTTCCAATTTTTGCTCTACAAAACAAATCTGACACTAGAATGCTGAACATAATCCAATCTGTGCTATGTGGGCTTGTGACTAGGGTGTGATTCCTGGCTATCCTTTGTGTAGTAGTACAGACACAGCATATTGCTTTTGGGAGCCTTGGCTGGTTTGATAAATATGTACTGTTGATATAGATTTGTTGTTATTTGTTCACAGTCTATTTGTAGTTTTTGTGCTTTAGGTGATTGCATTAAGGTTTTTTTTCTTGCGTTTCTTATCATGCAGTGGGTAAAAAGATTATTTTTGCTTGTATTTCCTACCTTAGAAATCAGTATGAGTTTGGCACCGCCACCTTTGGACAAAAACCTATCTGTAACAGAGAGACTGCATCATCTGCAGCTGTACCTGCAGAAGCACAGGCAGGAGCGCTCACTTGTCGTGTATAACTTCATTCAGCACTACAAGACTCTGGTGATGGCTTGTGGCATCTCCTTGGAGGGAAGTTTTGAGGACCCAAAGGTTTGCAGGATTAAGAAATATAGCTTGGATAAAATAACTAAACACAATAGTGGAAAGACGGGAGTACCTTCTGGTACTTTTGTTCTGTTATTTAGATTTTGAATATGCAGACCTGTTGGGGTTTAGTGAAATTTTCTTCCAGTGGGAAATCTAGAATTAAAGAGGAATAAAAGTAGCACCTTTCCCTGCAGTGTTCCGTGTATTAAATGGAGTAATATTTGCTCATTTTAGTGATTCATTGAATATATACATACACACAGATTCACACACACACCCCCCCACACACCCGTATATATACGTGTGGTTTTTACCGTCTGCTTGCATGGCAGAGACAATGCAGAAGCCTGTGTTTCATCCTATTTTGACACAAGAAATTGAAATATAGTTATAAGCGAAATTGCTTTGAAGACAGTGGGAGGTATGAGGCTCGCCACGAATAAAATTTGCCTTGCAGAATTCCTGGTACTATTGCTGATGCACAAAAAAATAGGAGAGCTCAGCTTGACTAGTATTATAGATCAATAGCAAGTGCTGATTTTTACAAAATCAGTTTTCAGATTAAACATGTTTTGATCCTGATTTTCATATTTAGTCCCTTTTCTGTTGGGTTTTAATAAATGAAAAACACTGAGCCGAACACTTTTAGATGTATTCAGTTGTCAGAGGATAAGGTTTCCAAATGTGCAGAATTAACTTTGAGTGAGAATGAAGCTTTTCAGTGACTTATGCCCTCTTGAAGGTTTTATCTGAAATCATGTGACTTTTCCCACAAATTTCAGTCTGCCTGCCAAATCAAGAAAAATAATCTGAACTATAACCTTGTGTTAACCCTCAGTTAAGCATTTACGTTGTATTATGACTAGAATGGAAAAAAAGGTCTCATGGAGGTCTCCCTTTTTAAGGTTGCATGTTGGCTGCTTGATTCTGGCTCTAAGGAACGTACGCTTCACAACATGGTGACTACCTTTCTCCCCAGTGAGTTACCTCTACTGGAAGGAGTAGGCACTGGCCAAGGAGTGCAGAGCCTGGGGCTTAGTGCCAGCGGAGATCATTCTGGGCGGTACAGAGCAGCAATAGAGTCTGTGCTTATCTTCAGTGTCATGAACCAACTCCATAATGAATTACAGAAGGAAAATCTGACAGGTAAAGAGAGCTCCTCCACTTGGGGTCAAAGATGGAGGGTTAAGGTAGCTGTGCTACCACAGGCTGAATGATCAGTGGGGGAGAGATTTGGAAGTACTTATCTAAGTGTATTCTGTGGCAAAATGTTCATTTGTTAAGGCAAAAGAGGGAACTTGCCTTGGAAGTACATCTGTTTTGTTAAAAAAATACAATTAAAAATTAAAATATATTTTTTATATCCCAAATATCCACCAGTTACATTGGTTAAGGCAATAGCAGAGTCTATTTATGTCTCTGAATCAAGCAGAGCTCTACCTCCCAGGTGAGTATCCTGGCCATTCAGAGTGGACTTGTGGGTATGTCTGTGGTTTCTCATGAACGTTTTCAAAAGCTTTTGCATTTCCTTGTCAGAAGCATTTCCTAAAATTCTCAAATGTTTTCTGAAGGAGATTTCTTGTTCTTTGGCCTGCCCATATGTAGCATTGTTTGCCATGTATGTGTTGTGTCCATGAAACTTCAGTGTTTCCATAGTGAATGATTCAGTAGGTTTGCACTAATACTTGCTGAATGCTTTGTCTCTGTTTAAAAACAAGGAAACAAAAAAAAAACAACCAACCAACCCAAAGCACATACCTATAAGTGGGCTTTATGATTGTTTCCCCTAAATTGTATCCAAAGCCTAAGATTAGGGTCTAGTCTCACTGAAGTCTTTTGTTGCAAATTTACTGCATCTTTTATGATCGTGACAACTGAAACTTCGAACATTGTGTGAGTGGTGGAATGAACGTGTATGAAGTTAGAAAGCTTTACATTAAGCATGTCTGTAGTTTATAAAATGTAGATATACAAAGAGATGTGTATTTCTTAGGAAAAAAATCTTTGACAGAAGTTGCTATTCTGTTAAATACTTTTGGGATAAAAAGTTCTAGAATACTTCTTATGAAATATTTCTTATTATGAAATATTCTGGAAACAGAAGTATTTAAACTAAACATGGGTTGAGACAATCCCAAGCACAAATACAGGCTGGGTGGAGAATGGCTTGAGAGCAGCCCTGAGGAGAAGGACTTGGGGGTGTCGGTAGATGAAAAACTGAACATGAGCCAGCAGTGTGCACTCCCAGCCCAGAAGGCAAAGTAGATCCTGGGCTGCATCAAGAGGAGAGTGACCAGCAGGTCGAGAGAGGTGACTCTACCCCTCTACTCTGTTCTGTTGAGACCCTACCTGGAGTACTGTGTCCAGGTCTGGGTCCCCCAATGCAATAAGGATGTTGAGCTGTTGGAGCAGGTCCAGAGGAGGGCCATGAAGATGGTCAGAGGGTTGGAACACCTCCCTTATGAGGACAGGCTGAGAGAGTTGGGGTTGTTCAGCCTGGAGAAGAGAAGGCTCCGAGAGGACCTTATAGCAGCCTTCCAGTACCTGAAGGAGGCTTACAGGAAAGCCGGGGAGGGACTTTTTATAAGGGCATGTAGCAACAGGACAAGGGGTAATGGATTTAAACTGGAAGAGGGCAGATTTAGACTAGATATTAGGAAGAAATTCTTTCCTGTGAGGGTGGTGAGGCACTGGAACAGGTTGCCCAGAGAAGCTGTGGATGCCCCATCCCTGGAGGGGTTCAAGGCCAGGCTGGATGAGGCTTTGAGCAACCTGGTCTAGTGGAGGGTGTCCCTGCCCATGGCAGGGGGGTTGGAACTTGATGATCTCTAAGGTTACTTCCAACCCAAACCATTCTGTGATTCTAAATCTATATTAAAAGATTTTAGTATGTCAGGGCATTCAGGATTTTGAAAACTGAGGATTTGCCAATTGTTTTTTTTATTAATCTGTTGATCTTCATTTGATCTGGTTTTGATGTTATAAAAGTTTTTCTTGGGGTTTGTACTTACTACAGATGTATTTTCTAAAGTGGAGATGCCCACCCATTATTGCTTGGCTCTGCTGGAACTGAATGGCATTGGTTTTAGCACAACAGCATATGAAACCCAGAAGCAGGTCATGCAAGCTAAACTGAGCGAGATTGAGACCAAGGCATATCAACTGGCAGGCCACAGCTTCTCCTTGACCAGCCCTGATGACATTGCAGAGGTATGTGAAGGGTTAGGGTGGGAGGGGGAGAACTTTCTCAGAAGTCGCCCTCAAGAGGCTTTTGCTTAGACTTAAGAAAAAACCTTCTTGGGCAGACAGCGTTTGAAGAAAAAACGCAAATTGAACTTTGTTCAGAGTTAATTTGTCTTTACACTCATGAGCTTGCTGCCTGCAAGGTGCTATGTGTCTCCTGCTTGTTACTGATCATTCTGATTTCTGCTAACTTTAGCAGAAATAAAGAAGGCAGAAGTGGAAATAAGCACGTTGGAAATAAAAAACAAGTGGGAATAAGCATGTTGTTTGTTTAGGACCTTGGCTTCTCATGGCGGGTGAGACGATCTGCCAGTTAAATGGCTTTTGGAATACTTTGGATGAACGGTGTGGGACTAGAGAAGCTTCTTCTGCATGAGATGTGATGTGATATCATGTAGTCTGAGTCTAAGAATAGTTCTACTGAATAGGTGGTATTGTTACCCTTCTCCCTATAAAGGCATGAAACAGGAAGACAGACTGCTTTTAAAGTTTTGAATCAACTGCTGTCTTTTAAGAACCAGTATATAACTGATATTTTTTTTAAAGCCTAAGAAACAGATTTCTATATAAATTGCAATACTTTTATTCCTGAAGACCTTTGCTATATATTTTTTAATGCACATTACATGGAATCATAGGAATAGATTATAATTGCTGTGCAATGTTTTTTTACCCGTTTATTTCTTTTCTGTACAATATTTCTCGCTGAAGAGCTATATTTTATATGGAAATAGTCAAAATTTGCAGGTAGCCATCACTAAAAGATGTTCCACAGAAATATTCCTCCTTTATTGCAAATGCAGAAGTTTTGCTCAGTAACAGTAGTCTGAGTTACAACTCATGAAATAATGCTGGGCTCAAATTTCACTCTGCTTCATGGAAAATGGGAAGGAGAGTTTTTTCTGAAACACTGTTCTCTGAACTACAGAAGCCTGTTTCTCATGTGAAAATTTTGTTAGGAATCATATAAAATATCTTGTATAGGTTAGTAGAGCTTTACCATTTTAATTTTGCATGAGTAAAACTTTTGTGCTACAAAAATGTGCAAGAGTAAAGCTTCTATTCCCTTCTGCCAGCTGTGAAGTGAAACACAGTATCTGCTAAATAGTGTATAGTGCTATATAGAAACATAGAATGAAAAAAGAAGAGCTGTGCTCTGTCTGTCAACAAGTGAGCATATACTTAATTTTCCAGTTATTGTAAATTTTTAGAAAAAAATAATATTCTGGCTATTCTATAAAAGGTATTTGTGACCATCTCCTATGCCATTCATGGTGCTCTGAAGCCTACTCCCTGCTAATGCTTTTTTTTTTCACCGATGTTCTTCCCACTTCTAGTCATCTTAACTCCACGTTTTATTACAATTGACTGTCAGCAGTAACTTCACTTATTGGGTGGAGTTAATTACCTTTTCTAAAAACATACCTCTGAACTCACACTTATAGTGTTCAGAAAATGAGATTTTAGATTGCATTTTGTAGTTAATTAAAATGAGGAAGAATGACCGATAGCACATATCTTTAATCAGCTTTTTAATTACCCAAAGCATTCGTACTATCCTTTGGTTGGAACAAGCTGTTTAAGTGCTCAGTTGTTTTTTGTTTTCTTCTGGGATTAGCATGCAGAAACTAATCTGAAATGCTGGCCTTTTTCAGGTTTTGTTCCTGGAGCTGAAGTTGCCACAAAACGGAGATGTGAAAGTTCAAGGGAACAAGAAAACTCTGGGTTCCACCAGAAGAGCAACTGCTAAAGGAAATAGGGTTAGGTTGAGCAAGCAGTTCAGTACAACCAAGGTACAGTAAAGTCTGGCTCTAGTTTGAAAATTATTGTAAAAATAACTCCCTCTTACCTCATACTGCTGCTTGGATATGCTGGAGTTAGTTAGGCATGCTGACTTAAATTAAAGAAAATTTTAGCTGTGTTTTCGCTCCTCCAGTTACTACTGTAAATTCAAACTGGATTCTGCCTTCTCTGTTAGCAGAGATATTAACTCCTCCTACTTGACCTAAAGCCTGAGTGTAGTGAGGACATGACTATAAATAGCAGGCTTCAATAAGAATAAATCAAGCAGAATTTGTTTTCCCAAACCACGTGTAAGACCAAAATAGCACAATAATTTTGAAGAATTTTTCAACATCAGCTAGAAAGATACTTAAATACTATGGTGATTAAATACAATATTTTCCCTGCCTGGTACTACCATATCTGTATTTTGGAGTTTAGAGAATTTGCCTTCAGAATGGCAGATCTGATGGCTGATCAAATTTAGTATATCAAAAGCTTATGTACATGTGAAGGCTATTGACATGCTTGCCAGTTGATAAATATTGTGGAGCTGCATTGATACCAACTGCTGCAGGCTAATGGGTGCTCTTGCCAGACAAGTGATATTAGCAGATATATATGTTCCTTGTTTTCAGGACTCATTAATCTGTGTTGTTTTCTTGGTTTCCCCTTGTTCAGTGTAGTCAGTGTTTAAAAGACCAGTATTGATTTCCGAAACTCAAGTGGCAGTGAAGAAGTGAGTGCAGTGGTGGTGGCAGAGCAGGGAGCAAAAAGCAAAGTGAGGATTTTCTCCTTTTGTGATGTGGAGGGATGAGGCTGCAGCTGCCTGCTGCATACAAAAAATGTTGTTTTGAGAAATGTTTGCATGCCGCTGGCTTTTGAAGTTCTTGTTAGTCCTTTCATATTTCTGATTTAACTGGAAGGATTTGATTGCTAGCGATCAGCTTTGTCTTTCAAGGTGCATGGTCAAGGGCTACGTTTATGTGTTCATAGCGTATGGATAGGAGAAAGCAGGGAGAAAAATACGCAGGAAGATGGAAGAGGAGCATTAACGCTGGTCAAGAGGAGACAACGTAGGGGACCTATGGCAAGTGATGCTTTATATGATAATTTCAGGTGATTTATTGGTTGATGCAGACTGAGTGGTGATGAGGATGCAAATATCCAAAGAGAAGTGATTGCCTTCTTGTGTGTAATAAAATGGCAGCTGTGTCTCACTGTGCCTTGATTGCCCGGGTGTAGGCAGTATTAGTGGAGGGGATAGCCATTTAATTGTGAGGCAGTGACCCTGGAAGCTCACTGTGAGTGAAGGAGTCACTTTTTCCTGCAGAACTGCAAAAACTTTATTTATAAAGCTTTGAAGGCAGTTAATCATAGCTTTGCCCTTTTCTCCCCACAAGGATGTTTTGGAGAAGTTAAAGACACTTCACCCATTGCCAGGGCTGATATTGGAGTGGAGGAGGATCAACAATGCCATTACTAAAGTGGTGTTTCCACTACAGAGGGAAAAGCGATTGAATTCTGCACTAGGAATGGAAAGGATATATCCCATTTCACAGACTCACACAGCTACAGGTAAAGAAACATGTGCAAAATCATCACTTCTTACTGTTTTTTTTTCTTTTCCTGTGCATG